CAGTTCAGTGTCCTAGCCTCTAAGTAACATAGACTCAGAAATCAGACAAGGTCAACAGTTAAGATATGTCACCTTGAATTAACACGTTTTTTCTTCTACCACAACACTACATTAAACCAATAAATTTAAAAAGAAAACAGCAAGTGCTTGGCACACCTAGAATGGAAAATCTATCCATTAAAGGCTTTTTGTGATGTGGATAATGATTTCATGTGATTAATGATGCTCCTTTAGTACTATAGTGAAAAGATTCTTTTCCATGTCACATTAATTTTTTTAGCTTAAAATGTTACTTTTAAAAGCAAATAATCATCAGTCAGTTAGGTTTTACCTTACATCATATTGGCTTCCAAAATAATATAATTACCCACATTTTAATTCTGCAAACCCAAAACTAAATCCCACCCTTTTACTAGTACCATTCTGATAAATTTAAAATGAAAAAACCTATAATTTTATTAAATGTTTGACTGAGCATCCTTAATCTCAGAAAAGTAGTTCAGCTTTCAAATATCATTGACTTACACCCAATAATGAAAGAAAGGTTATCTTATCACTGAAGGACCCATACAATCAGTACCACTTTGTTATTGGCTCAAAAGCATGGTATTAAAAAATATGCAAAAATGAATCTGACAGATTTTGTTAGTGGCATACTAAAAATGAATTCACATTAACTTCTTAAATATTTTCGAGTGAGAAGAAACGTTACTTTATACAACTAAAATCTAACGTACTGTAAAGGTAGGAGAAATAATTAAACACAAAACAAAAATAAAAGCATGAAAGCTAAAATCATTGAGTTTTTCTCCTCTTTTTTTGAGGAGCAATGAAGTCTAAGATAGACTCCCTTATCTGGGCTGCCTCAAGGGGCAAGACATCCTGTTATGAAATCACAAGTACTTAAAAGGAAGACTTGCACTGATGAAGAGCTCAGACAAGAGTGCTGACGCTAACTTCCAAAAAGGTGAATTCCCCAAACAGCAGTACAATCAATTTTTATTTAGAAATGATATTATAAGGCTAGGGACAGAAGTTACATATACACCAATTTAAGTGATCAGAAACAGGTTTAAACCTGTAACGGAACATAAGTTCAGTGCGCACAAATTAGTTTCAAAATGGCTGAAACTGCTTTAAGATAAACCTGGCTGAATGTATTATCAGACTTAACTGATTTGAGTTAAACCAGTTTATGGAACTTCTGTCCCAGACCCCTTCCTGATTTAAGTTAAACCAGAGTCCCCCAGCATCCCAGCATGCCCTGCAGCCCTGGGCTGGGCTGTAATCTCTGCTCTAGAAAGCAGGGCTGGCCCTGTCCCCCTGCTCTCTAGCTGGGGGCATGGCTAGATGCCAGCTGGCATGCCCCCCCGCCTTGCCCCCTGGAGGTGAAGGGAGCAGGAAAAGGGTTTATACCCCCCCCACCCCTCTCTCACTGGGGGACCACAGCTGAGATCTGCCTGACCAAGGTGTAGCAGCCCATCTGGCATTCACCCCCCTCAGCACTCCAGCGACAGAAGCAGGGGCATAGCCAGAGCTGGCCATCATGGCACCACCATCTACCTGCCTTGCCTGCAGCTACAGGGCTGGGGCTGCAGTGCTGAGCCAGGCCAGCCCACAGGCACTGCTGAGGGTGAACACACAGCGGTCAGTCCAGGCTAGGCTGTGGGGGCCAGGCCCTAAGCTTGTGCTGGGGGACATGGGCAGCGGCTGGCCAAGTAGCAGGCTGCCCGGGCTGGCTCGGAGGCACTGGCAGACCTGGAGCCCAGCAGCCACCCACCATGGGGACTCGCATCTCCCAACGCACCCCTGTCCTGTGCAGCACCCACCAGTTGTAGCTGCACCACAGGCTGTGTGCTGGCTAGGACCAGCAGAGTTCTTCTGCCTCCCTTGCCTCCAGCTGCCACCATGCAGTTCTGGGTGGGTGGGTGGAGGCTTTAGCCTGGCAGCTACTGACCAGCGCATAGAGCTCTGGCTCCAGCTGCTTCCCACTTGAATCTTCCTTACAGAAGCTGCTCATCACACTGGATGGGCAGAAGGAAGCCAGAGCTCCAGGCACTGGGAAGAAGCCGCTGGGCTAAGGCTTCCACCCATGCGGAGTGGCGCTGGGAAGTGGGGTAGGAACAGGAGCTGCAGCTGAAGGTGAGGAGAACGGAACATCCCTTCCAAGCCCAGCAATCATGCAGCTTTCCCTCGCCTCCAGCAGCTACTCCACCCTCATGCTCCTGCCCCCGTTGTGCTGCTCCAGGCAGTAGGGAGGGGCTAGATTTAGGTCAGCAGCTTCTGCTTAGAGCAGAGCTAAAGCTCAGAGCAGTGTGGCAGGGCAAGGAGTGGGAAGGGGAGAAACCGCTGAAGGCAGGAGGAAGCTGTGTGCTGTCTAAGCTTGGCAGAACTGTCCTGCTCCGCTCACCTCCAGTTGTGGCTTCTGCCCTGCCACACAGTGCCACTCCGTGGGGATGGAATCTTTAGCCCAGTGGCTTCTGTCCAGAGCCTGGAGTTCTGGCTCCAGCTCTAGCTGCCTTCCACCCACCCAGCATTATGAACAGCTCTGCGGGGTGGGGTGGGGAGCAGGTGGAAAATAGCTGGAGCTGGAGCCAGAGCTCCGTGCCCTGGGCAGAAGCCGCCAGGCTAAAGCTTCCACCTGCCCACCCAGAGCCACATAGCAGCAGCAGCAGCTGGAGGCAAGGGAAGCAAAAGAGCCCCACCAGCCCTGGCCAGCTCACAGCTTGTTGTGCAGCTGCAGCCAGCAGGTACTGCACAGGACAGGGGCATGGTGGAGGCTGTGAGATCCTGCAGAGGGTGGCTGCTAGGCTCTGGGCCTGCCAGTGCCTCTGAGTCAGCCATTGCAGCTCGCTACTTTGCCAGCCACTGTCCGTGTCCCCCGGCACAAGCCAAGGGCCAGCCCCTACAATCCCAGTCCCAGGCCTGGGCAGATAGCATGGCTGGGCCAGCCAGCTCTGGCCAGGTCCCCACCCCTACCACTGCCACCATGTGAGCAGTGGGGAAAGCCAGGCATACACTGGCTGGGGTCCCCATGCCTAATAGGGGATACCGAGGAGTTTAATCCTCCTCGACCCCCTTTCAGCTGAGGCACTGCCTGGCCGGTGCCTTGTAATTGCTGAGGAAGGGAAGGGAGGGCTGCTCTAGTGCTCTCCTGGCTTCTAGCCTGAGCCACTGTAGGCATGTGTCTACATTTCCAGAATTAAAAGTGAATGTTTGTTTACTTGCAAATTGGTTCAATTGTAGTATGAATTTTTGCATATTAGTTATTATGCTTAAATGATAATACTTTTATAAACAACTAAAACTCCATTTTGTGCTTGCTTCCTGCTTTACATAAGTAAATGAACTTCATATGCCCTGTGTACGTGAGTGTCTGTGTGAGAGGGTAATGGCGAAAGAATGGTAACTATTTGCATGAAAACAGAAGAAGGTTAACTGATTGTGTGAGCAACAAGATGCTGATGTATAAGTTACCATACAGTAAACTAATTAAGCTAATTCATGGATGGCTGAAGAACTTGTCTGCTATCAAGTGCAAAGGAGATAGAGAGAAGAAGGAATTTTGTATATCCTGCCATTTGAACTACACAATGCTTCAAGGACATAATGCCTCAAGGCAGAGATACCAACGGAGATACCAACTTTACTGGAATGACCTAAGTTGAGATAACCAGAAGAAAAAACTTTTTAATTAAAAACTGAGCATGGAAAAACCCCAATGCTGAACAAAGACTTGAAATCCCTATAAAAGTGAGATGCAGACAAGCCAAGATGGGGAATCCACGCTTTCCAAACTCCTGGAACACAGGCACATCTGTTCTTCTCCCACTCCCATCACCCTCAATGAGCTTGGATGGGCCATCCAGTGCTAACATTGAGTAACTTCTGCTGGTAACTATAACATCTTACTGGAGTGGTTTTGTCTGTATGTCTGTTTCTATGTATGCTTGTGTATGTCTGTTTGTATGACTGGTGTGTCCAAGCTTATATATCTACTTCAAGTAATCAATAAACACTGCATTTTGCCTTATCCCCATGTTTAAGGTCTCACTCTTGATTTGAACAATTGACAATTTAAAATAACACAATCTACACAGGTTAGACTAACCTGCAAGGATTGAATCAATTTAGGCTCAGGCTTTTTGAATGTCTGTCCCTAGCCCTGGGGACTGGAGATGGAGTATGTAAGCTTTGTAATAATGATTAGAGACATCTTCATTGCTTAAGCAGATAAAAATGGCTATACAATCTTAGAAAAGCCTTGTTTTCAAGGGTCAGATCTGGCCCCTAGAACCCAGCCACAGAGCCATGAAGGCTCCCCACAGGTATGTGGGGAATCCCATGGCCTTGTATGCTAGATCAGGAATACAGAGCAGCACAGGGCCTAATCCCAGTAGTGTGGGGCCCAGCAGCAGTAGCGCAAGTCTTGAAGGCCCCCACCCCACTGTGCAGGCTTGGGTGGAGGGCCCTGGAGCCTGATTCTGGCACTCGGGGGAAGCACAGGGCCTGACCCTGGCATGCAGGGTCTGATCTGGCCCATGGACCAGCTCTGTCTCATTCATCTGGTCTGCGGGGCCAAAAGGTTGAGGACCACTTTTATCCTGCTGTGACACTTAGAAGCTAAAAGTAGGGGCCTAGACCTAAATTGCAGCAAGATAAAGGGATTTTCATGGGCTGCTTGCAGAACCAATTTCACAATCTTTTCATTGGTGAGCTATATACATATATAGATCCTTTATTTGACTTGTCGGGTTTTCTTTTTTGGAGTTGGGTTTTTTGTTTGTTTGTTTGTTTTTTAAAGATTCAGACTTGGCAACACGCTTTTTTTCCGCACATATGGGTGAGGGCAGGGGCAGGAGCACATGCTTATAATGAAAACTTTTTCATGGAATAAATACATTTTCTTTGAAAAAAAAGCTTTATAAGGCATCTGGTTCAACACCTTATACTCTCACCAGATTGGGGGAATGGGGGGAGGGAAATCAATAGTTTCTTACCTTGTAGAGTCTGTAACTTGTAATCATTTGGACAGGACAGAGATCTTTCCACAATCGTTGACCTGTTCTGTAAAAGCTTCTCTATGAGTTCAAAACCCTCAGGGCCCAGCAGTTCAAATAACTATAGGAAAAAAGGAAAAGAAAAAAAAAACCAAAGAAAAGAAAAAGAAGAATCATTATCCTACAGCATTCTCTTGAAAAATTAGCACAAAACTAAGAACAACTACAATAAATTTGGTCTTTGGTAGTATCGTATTTGCTGTAGATTTAGATGAATGTGCTCATTCAGTTCCAGGTAATTTGGTCCAAAATGTATCACATCTACTATTTGCAGAGTGTCTATATAAAACTGTTTTCATTTGACAATGTTAAAAAACAAGGCAGAAATAGAATTATTATACCTATTAGGCCTCTTCCATTGGGAACTACTAAGTTGTAAGGTAATAGTTTTACTTATATGGGTCTGCAAGGGTGGAGGGTTTTTTTCCTTTTTTTTTTTCTTTTAAAGAGCTGGAGTACAGAATTAACAAATCCTCTCTCTTAGGTTATCAGACAAAGAGTTCATCCATATCAAGATAGTGTAAAAGCAAGATGATCCTAATCACAATCAGGGGACTCATCTTTTTTATGTGGAGCATGTAGTCAATTTCTTAAGAAGAAAACACCAAGTCCTTGATAAGCCTATTTGGCACAAAGACTGACATGTTGTCTGAACACACTATTTTGATATTTGTCAATTTAATCTTTTTTAATTTCTTGACCAAACCTATTGTCTTTTTACCCTCCTCTCTATCCAGAAGTAGAGTTTCATCCTCAATGTTGAAGGAAATATTTTTCATGTAAGCCAATTTGTGTTTATTTAAATTGTTTGCCCAATTCTTCAAAATGTTAAATCACCTTATTTTTTATGGCAGAAAAATATTCACTAAAATTCCCTCCTCTTTCAGTATGACTGAGTCGGGTAGTTCCCTCTCTCATTCAAACTGTGACTCAAGATGTCAATTAAGAATAAAGATTTATAATATTATAAATTACAATCTAGTTAATATGAACAATTGTTATCTATCTACAAATTGTTATAGGAACAAGGAGATAAATTTTGAAATCACTTATTTCTAGGATATTTCACTCCTACTTTCCTCTTCCTAGATTTAGCATGCAAGCTCTTTGATGGATATTTTTTGCTTAAGCCTATAACTATCTGACTATCGTCTCCTGGGAAATACTGAGAATAACTTTATGCTTCACCTTCATGTACTTGTAAACAAGGTTTGAACCATGCCAAGTTATACAAGGGAGTATTTTTTAAGTGCTAACCATACTTCATAATCTAAGATGTCATTTTAAAAAAGAAAGAAGAAAAAATAAGAATAACTCTAAGGAAAAAACTGAAAACTTCAAATTAACACAATAATGTCTATATGTCTGCAGTTAGCCTGGAGGTAATAGCTCTCAGAAGTGCGAACTTTTCCATTCACCTCAAAAAGAAATTAAGTGAAATACCCAATAATAATCATATAAATGTCAATTTTTATCTCTTTTATTGTTGATCCAAGCAGTATGAAAAGAGAGGAAAAAACACATTAACAGCATACTCTACTTCAATGATATTTCACTTTGGTGCCAAAGTAGATATTACTTGGGAGTATGAGTTAAATTCACCTCCCCAGCCCCCAGTCTGGTCTAAGAACTCAAAACACCAGAAGGGCACTCACCAAAGGAGCACAAGGCCACTAGGCATCCAAGCTCTAGGAGCCCAACAGAACCCACAAGGAGGGTTTAAACCCTCCTGTGGGCATGTCAAGCAGCAGACACAAATCACTAGGGGTGTTCAAAATGGTCCGTATTTGATCCGGATTCAGCCTGAATCAGGGACAGTGATTCAATTAATTGATTTGGATCACTGTCCCCAATTCAATTTGGCTGAATCTGAATATTCGATGCTGATTCAGAGGACTTGGCCACAGACACAGCTTTAAATGTTTTTTCTACATATCTCGAGGTACCAGACGCAGCTCATGAATGTTCCAGGTCTGTCACTGAGCACACACTGGGGGCCCCCCACGTCCCCCCCCAGCTCAGTGATTGGTCATAGGGGGACCCCAGGTGCCCCCCCCCGACCCAGGAGGCACTAGTTGGTAAGCCGGGGGAGGGAGGGGGGGCGGGAGGGTAGCACTCTCACTGGCGGACCCAGAAGTGTTTCTGGTCCGCTTCCAGGTCTGTCACCGAACACACATCGGGGCCCCCCGCATCTTCCTCCCCTGGCTCAGCAATCAGCCGCGGGGGGACCCCGTGCGCCCCCCCAGATCCAGGAGGCACTAGTTGCCAAGCCGGGGGGAGCACACTACCTGGTGGACCCAGAAGTGCTTCTGGTCCACTTCCGGGTTTGCTGCTGAGTGCGCTGGGGAGCCCCCCGTGCTCCTGTGGGACGCTCCATCTGCCCCACCATCAAAGTATTCATGAGCTGCTTGGTACCTTGAGGTATGTAGAAAAAACATGTAAAGCTGTGTCTATATCTGAACACCAAATCCTTCCAAATTGATCTAGAGGGTTCCGATTCAACTTGGAGAGATTCAAGGGTCTCCTAATTTGATGTGGATTTGGAGATTTGGCCACCAAATCAGGCCAATTCTCCACCAAATTGAATCAGGGACCAAAGCATCATGCGGCCCTACGAATCATACCTTGGACATCTGGTCAATCTACTGTGAATGACATCCTATTTTGAAATTTCAAGTAGGCTGAGCATGGCTTGCTTCTTTCCATTTATGACATGCTTGCTTCCTGTTAAACTCCCTAGTAACTATGAAGAACAAAAGGACTGCATGGAATCTTCCAACACTAAAAAGGCTGGAGTCCAAGGAATTCAAGAACAGAAAAGGAGAAGAATAGAGCAACAGGCTGGTCAAAAATTTGCACGATCAACTGTCCAAATACCTACAAGATACTTGGAGGAAGGAATACAGTCCCAATTCAATGTTATACAAAGACCTAGAGTTCTATTTGACTCCTCATTAAGCCTGAAAATCTGGCCGCTCTGATACCTACATTAGGGCCTTGTTACACAGGACAGGACAGGACAGGACAGGACAGGACAGGACAGGACAGGACATCATATTTAGATCACAGTAAGCGTTAATATAATGTAGAAAAGTTTCCTGAACAGTTGTACATTAATGCTTCTACAATCTAAATATACATTGTAGTACTGCACCAGAGTCTTGAAGCAGGTCCAGTGTGATTTCAGGACTGAAACCAAAAAAAGAAGCTGAGTTTCAGTCTTAGCCCAGGGACCCACCAGAGCTGGTAGGAGACTCCCATGTGGTCTGGGGCCAGAACCCCCAATCAGTGGATTATGTGTCCTGGCCCTGGGACTACAATTGATTATATCATCTCCATGGAACACTCCCACATTAACGCAACACACGTTACCCAATGATTGGGAGACACTCCTCACTCAAAAAGGTATAAAATAAAGAGAACACTTAGCACATGCTTGAATGCTAGCTTCTCAAATGCAGTTAACATGTGCTAAGTGTAACATGCAACAACCCCCTTTGTCTTGCTCAGGCTGGTTTCTACTACTATAATTTACTGTTTTTGAAATTTAATTGTGAACACTATGCTCAGGCTATAACTAATTCAAACTGGCTTCTCAACTTTCTTACAGTTTATGCCCTATGAGCATATCAAGATCTTTGCTTAAGTTCCTCCCCTGGTTCCCAGTCTGCTTCTAATATTAGCTGAGACTTTAATCCTAATTTCAAAGTAATTAAACATCAGCTACAATAAAGATCTCATTTCAATGCATGGACCACAACAGCTGTTGCATTCCTCTGAGACAACATAGAGCACACTGCCTCTGAAGGAGTTTGGAGAGGTGTGAACAAAAATGTTATCAGTTGAGTGTTTTCACCTATGCAACAAACTTCAGGAGGAAAACAATCCTTTCAAAAGACCTCTCCACTGAGAATGATGCTATCCCTTCCCTCCACCCCAAAAAGTCTATCCTACCCATAAACATGGAATATAATAAAAAATTCATACTAATTTTTAAAAAATCTATTCCTTGAAGAAAACAATGCCAGAAGCCACAATCTTATTGTGGAAAATACTCTGATTTCATGGTGATTGGTGAAGTTAAAACAACAACAAGACAGAGGAGAAAAAAGGAATTATTCTAAACCCAAAAAAGTTTTACCTCTTCAGTAGAAAATAGAGAACACTATATCATCCAAAAAGAGAAGTTTAATTCTGCCCACCAAATACTGTGAAAAAAAAATGTACACTTGGTCCAATTTTCTTACTACAACCACTTGGAGTAATGCACAATTCACTGGCTGCATCTACACCAGACACTGATTGTGCAGTTGTTACTGTGCAGTCATTTAGTACTCGCATATGTAACTACTAAATTACTGCCGAATAACTGGCGTTCTCCGCACAGCTTCTTGGTGAGGCTGACTGCACAGTAGCTCATTACTACTGCACAGTAAAGTGGCGTCACACTTCATGCCACGCAACACTCCTGTGCAATACTAATGAACAATTGCACAGTAGTAATGAGCTACTGAGCAGTAAGCGTCTCATGTGGATGCAGCCAGTGAGAGTTAACAACACACAGAAGTGCCTTATGGGTCAGACCAATGGTACATTTAGCCCAGTCTCCTGTCTCCGACAGTGGTAGAAGTGGATGTTATAACCGGGAGAACATTGGACAGGATATCTCTAGAGTGCTCTATCCCCTATTAAATACCCTTCCTGGCATCCACCATTTACTGGGTTAGAGATACCAGAGAAAATACCTCCAACCATTCAGTTTAATAGCTATTAATAGATCTTTAATGCAAGGTGACATCAAGGAGGTTCAATCAATGGTCCAGTCCCAGCCAGTTCTTCCTTTAGACTGCTCTTCTGACACACTGGTCTGATGCAAGAGCCTTCTGTTTGCCTAGGTAACCCATTCTCCAAGGTTGCATTGGGGAACTCTAACAGGGAGTTAACAACACAAGTTCCAAAGAAACGGGTCAATCCTCTCTCAGTATTAAGTAGGAGAACTAGAACAACAGTGAATAGCAAGGAGAACACTTACAAGATGTGTTAAAAGCAATATCTCCCTTA